GGGTCTGTCTCCCAAGATCTGTGAGAGTACAGTGACTGTATAGTTCACAGGTGACTGCTAAACTGTATTATAATGTTCAGCCACCAGGTGGCACCATGCGTAACATACTTGACCTGAGGCGGTACCAGGTGTAGCCGGCTGTGTATGAAAGCACCAAGGGGAACACAGCTCTGGTCTCTCGCTCTGGGATGGAGCCAGTCCACAGTGGGTGCAGGAACTGACCCGTGTGCATCAGCCCGGCAACCGGCTGTGACCCGATACACAAGTGGGAGACCCAGGCTCCCGTCCCCTGGCTGCAATGACCATGTTACCCAACCGGAGAGCTTGAGGGATAGCAGCCTTGCAGCCTAGTGGTTAGGGCTCTCTCCGGGGCGATGGGGAGACCCAGGATCCTACATCAGGCAGAGGGGGGAAATTGACCCTTCGTGTCCCGTATCTCAGGTGCACGCGCTACCCACTGGGCTCTCAGTTCCAAGGGGTTTTGGGGGAGGCGGCACCACCCCCGCTCCACTTCTCCTTGGAAAAGGGTTTCCAGGCTCCTGGATGTGAATAATCCTGAGTGGAAATAGGCGCCTCCCTGTGACCGAGATCCGGGGTCAGTGAACAGTGGGGCTTACTTGGGTAGTAACCCTAGAGCTGGAAGTCACTGGTTTTACAAGCAGGATTTTAAAACCCTTTGTATCCTGGATGGGGACACCCAGCGATTTCCTGCACATTTGATTATTTTTTGTTCATTTCCTCCTAGAGGTCGCTTCAAACGATCTGGTGAGGAATTGCGAGAACCGAGGGCTGCACATGGCTCACGGCTCATCCCCAGACGATGTACGTATCCCAGCATAGTTCACACGCCCCGTTGATCTAGGGACACTCACGGCAAAGGCAGCGGAGGGAGCCCCGGCTGAAATTCTTTAAAGTGACTCAGTGATGGTTTTTGGTGCCTGACTTGAGATGCCTTCAAATGGGCCTGAGTGTGCAGGGAGCGGGCGCTTGCCACTTCCTGGGCACCTTTAAGGAACCTCGCACAAATGCTGCCAAAATCGAGTTGCTTTGGAGAATCTGAGCCCTGGTCGATTTTGTCTGCAGTGCGGCCCTCGACTGCCACAGCAAAGCCACTCACACCTGGTGTTTCTGGTGCAGGGGATTTTAATCCAGGGTGTGAAACATCGTCCTCCCTGCCAGTGAACCAGCAGCAAAGTGCAGGCTGCAGGAGAATGACAAGAATCATCAAATCTTTAGTGGGTGGAAAATCCCATTGTAGGAAGCCATAACTCCCCCCTGTCCCCCCAGCAGCACCAGTCCCGATCCCCACGATACCAGCAGCAGAACCTCTGGCACCCCAAACCTCCCTTGTCCCTTCTTGCCACCCACAATCCTTTGCAGTAGTACTCTGGCTTCAAGCAGGGCGCTGCACAGACCCCTTCCCCCTCCCTCGGACCAAGATCGGGGCCCCCATTGTGCCAGGTGCTGCATGGACACATAGTAAGAGGCAGTCCGTGCCCCCACGACTTACAACGTAAGTGGCAATGTTAGTTGCCCTGCTGTACAGATGGGGAACTGAAACTGTGAGAAGTAAGATGGCTTCATGATTATGCTGCAGTTTGAACCCCTGGGTCCCAGCCCCATGCCTTGGCCACAAGACCAACCTTCCTGCTGTATGATTGAATTTGTGTTGTATTACGGGCTTTTCCTTCTGCTTCGGCCCCCTCCTTCCGCCCTGCACAGGCTGCCTTCTGCACGTTATTTACCTCCACCTTCAGCGTCTTGGGAGACCCCACCGAAAGGAAGAACTCCAACGTCTCTCTGAAGGTAAGAGAAGCCTGGATGCTTATCGCAGCTTTCAGTCTCTCTAGACCCTCCTGCATCACCCAGGCCACAGAACCCCACCCCACTGAGCCCTGCATCCAGCCCTATAACTAGGGGGTGGGCAGATCCCAGAATTTCCTGGAAGAGAACAGGGCTGATGCTCGTGGTTCACCAGCATCTTGCTGTAGAGAGATCTAATCGGCGCCACGTAGGCCCGTAGCAGGGCTGGACCGAGGAAACTCAGCTTTAGAGGCACGAGCCGCTAGCGCTTGAGCCAACGGACTGCAGGCCTGAGCTGAAGCCCACTGAAGTCATTCAAAGCCTCCCGTTGGCCGTGGAGCAGATCCTGGACCTGTAGCTGGCTCAGACCTCTATGGGCCAGCCACTAGACGGGGCATGTTGTAGACGTGGCTCCTCAGCGCAGATGGGACGAAGGGCAGCTGTGAGCATGCCCATCAGCAGCTCTTAGGAGATTGGCCGACCGTTGCTGGGGTAACGCAGCACAGCCAATAAGAGCTCTCGGTCTCGCCCCGCCCTAGAAAGCCGCGGAGGGATTTGCCTCCATCCTGGAGCAGTCGCCCTCCTGGTCCAACCTGAGCACGAAGCAGCTCTCCGCCATGGCCACCGTCTTCCTGGAGAA